ATAATATAAAATTGTTTAAATTATTAGCTGGTAATTTTATTTTATTTTAAATATTCAATGTTCATGTACATGTAATAAAAATTTTGAAATTATTTGTTATTTTTCTTTCTGCTAAATAATATAATTATTCAAAATCGTATAATAATAAAGATTCCTTTTAATATTATTATTATTATTATTATTATTATTATTATTATTATTATTTATAATAATTAACCTTGTATTAGAAATTCAAAATTTTTTTTTTTTTTTTTTTTTTGCAAAAACAGTTGTTGCATTTTCGTTTGGAGTAATAATTAATCGACGTTAACAAAAAAACGAGGGTTTTCACGTTGCAAATGCACGTGATGATATCGAGAGGGAGTTTTTTTCAGTTCAGTTTAACTTCATCAAGTGAATTGTTCAGTTCGTTTGTAACGGTTTTTTCCTTAAATTTGATTGTTTTTCACAATTTTATTTTATTTTTATTAAAAAATATATATATTTTTAATTAAATGTTTTATTAAACGAATTAAATGTTTGTATATTTAAATTAAATATTTTAATAATTATTATTATTAATATTAAGGTTTAAAACTTTTAACGGTTAAAATTTATTGAAGAGGAGAGACAACAAAAAAAAAAAAAAAAAAAAAAACAATATTTATTGTGAGTATTTTTTAAATATTTTTAATTATTTCAAAACCTTTTTTAAAAAAGGTTAACATTTCAAATTAAATCATTCAATAATTGTAATTTTTCCCCCCTTATTGTTAAAACAAAGAATTTCAGTATTCTGTACATAATAATTTTATTACACATTATTCACTCAAAATGGCTGACATTTTTAAATTTTGGTAACAAATTATAACAAATTAAAAAAAGAATTTAATTGTTTTTTTCATTATTCTCACACATTTTAATAAAATTGACAGTTAATAATAATGCAAGAAACAATTTTATACATATAAAAATTACACTTAATAATATCATTACCTAAAATATTATTTGAAAAGTTTATGATGAAATTTTAACGGTTTTTTCTACAATTTAATATTTTTAACAAATTTTTTTTGTTCTCCAAGTATTTTTCCCCTTAAACAAACTTTAAGGTATCATATTTGATTTGTTAACACATGAATAAAAATATATAAAAAATTGTTTACAGCATTATACAACATTATTTATCTGGTCATGATGTTTTCTTTCCCTCCAAATAACAAAATTCATTAGAAATTTGTGGTGTCCGCCATTTTGATGTAGAAAATTTGAAATCATATTTGAATTATTATTCATTTTACACAAAAAACTATCACATCATGTACATATTTTTTACATTATATTTTTTACATCATTCATATTTTATATATATATATATATATTTAATAAATTTTATTGTAATTATGTAAAAATAATTAATTACTTATGTATTTCCCAATCCAGGGGATTTGTTTAAAAGTTATTATTTGTAAAATTATATTAACAATCAACATGGATATCATTTTTAGGTAATAAAATTAATGTTATTTGATTGCATAATAAGGAAAACATTTAACAAAATTAACTAAAAACATGGAGATTCTTTATTTGAGCCTTAAAAAATTATTAATCTATGTTAATTTATATTAAAAATTGATTTCTCTTTAAATGTATGTACTCATATATTAACAGAATCTATTTATAATATTATTTAAATTTTTTTTTTTCTATTAATATTTTTTTTTTTTTTTGCACTTTTCATACTGTTTAAAAATTTAAATTTTTTTTTCTTTTTCTAAAATTACAACTTTTGCGCATTTATTATGTAAATAATAATATGAAACACATTTTTTTTTCTCTCTCTTGATTTTCCCCTCCTTATTTTAATTTAAATAAAATGAAGGTTTTCATTTTAACAAACCTTTTACATCTTCAATGATTATAATAATATTGAAACATTCTACCTGAAATTTTCCTCTTTTATTTAAATATAAATCAAACCTTATCATTATTATTTATTGATTATAGTAATTGATAAATTTTAAAATTTTATAAAAATTTTCTTTTTTTTTTTTTTTTGCATGGAGAGGATGATGAGAGGTTTATGGTAATAAAAACAACCCCCACAAGAGATGTTTTAATGGATGGATTTTTTTTATTTTTATATGTTTATCATAAAATGATATAAATAATAATAATAATAATAAATAAGGCGTATAACATTGGCACGTGCTTAACAACGAGATTATGTTGAGCACATGCAAAATAAACGTGAAATTTTTATCCTCTTCTTGTTCTGTTTAATAAAAACAAAATTTTTCACCTACGTTTTTTTTTTTTTTTTTTTTTTCCTATATCGTCCTTTACCTTTTTTTCCTTTTTTCTCATTTTCTTTTTTATGCATCCCATAAAGGAAATTGAAACTGGTTAATCGAATGGTAAGAGAGAGAGAGAGAGAGAGAGAGAGAGAGAAGAAAAAAAAAAGGAAAAAATTTGATTGACGTTTACCTCGAATTCTTTTGCCACGTATATATTTATATCTATTTATAAATATATTTTTACTCTGTTATATATGAATAAATTTTTTTTTTTTTGCAGGAAAATCCGATACATTATGATTCATTCAATTTGTAATAAAAAAAAAAGAAATTTAATAGTATAAAATATCATATAAAATGGAATGGGTTTTTAGAAATTCAAATTCTCATAATAATTTAACGAATGGATTTTTAGGAGAACAAGTTGGTGATTCCTACGAAATAAGTTCAGATTGTTTATGTGAGTATTTTTTTTTTTTTTTTTTTTTTTTTTTTTTAGGTTTAATATTTAAATTTTGGGAGTATTTTTTTAAATTTATGCATTTAAACACACACACACAGTATCAATTCCACTTATTCAGTTAAGGCAGATACAAAACACTATAATAAATATTTATTATATAAATTATTTTATATATTAATAAATTTTTAATTCGTTCGAAATTTTATTTGTTTTTATACAAAAATAATTCTGCTATAAAAAAAATTTAATTTCTTTAAATTAATCATTCTGAATAATTTTTTCAACGACTCATTATTAATTATATAATATTTAAATATTTTAATATTAAAAAAAAAACGTTTGTTATAAAAATAAATATTGCCATGTGATGACCGTTTTAGCTAAAAATAACAATAAAATGTCACGAAAAAAAAAAAAAACAAAATCAACGTGACTCTTTTACGTCATTGATTTAAATCTCGTTTATATTTCATACTGTGTAAAAAAAAAAAAAAAAAAATTCATTTATTTTCCCAAGGGAACTACAAAATAGACAAAAATCTTTTTCGTCATTTTCGTAGCCTATAAACAAACTTGCACAAATTTAAATTAATAATTATTATTATTAACGATAATACGAATTTTTGATATGATTCGAATGGAAACAATACATTTCGTACATTTGGAAATGATATGATTTTATTTATTTATTTATTATTATTATTATTATTTTCGTTGTTGTTTTTGATATATATATAAAAAGCGTGGTATAATTTAATTGACATGTGCCAGACGATATTCTTATTCAAAATAATAACGTGATTTGAGCACGTGTATTTATATTCATGAATTTTCTTTTTTTGAAAATATTTAATCACGGTTCTTTTTCATGTTGTATAAAAGCACGTTTGTGTTAATATATTTCACCTTTTGTATTATTATTATTATTATTATTTTTTTGAAATGCATAAATAAAACTGATTTGTATAGATTTTTTTAAATTAATATTTTGTTCTTTTTTTTTTTTTTCCAGTAATTTTAAATGAAATCAGTAGAAAACTCATGTTCGAAGATAAAATTATAAGAAATATAAGGAGGAGTATAGCATTTACAGAAACATTAAAAAAGGTATAAATAAAATGTTTAAATTTTTTTTTTTTTTTTGCAAATTTTAATAAAAATTATTTATTTTTTTTAAGGATTTTATTCCAATACTAGTCAATACGAAAGATCCTGATGTGATTGATGCTCTTATCAGGTGAGATTTTTTATATTTTCGAATATTCGAAACGCATGTTAAAATTTCTAATTGTTTTTTTTTTATAACAAATAATTTTTAAAGAATTTTAGTTAATTTATCCGTACCTGTAGATTGCCTTTTACCAATAGAAATAATGACAAAAACGGATGCTGGAAGAATAACGATATCGGAGATAAATAGTTTTTTAATTAACAGTAAAGAATGTTTTGTGGATCCACGAACGACACGAGTCATAATCGATTACATGAAAAAAATTATCGAAGTGGTAATAAATTTTTTTACATATCTGTTAAATTTTTTTTTGTATTTATTATAATTAATTGAAATAATGCCTTGTTTAATTTTTCAGGAAGAAAAAAGAAAATTAACGGAAAAAGAATGCGAGAGCATCAACAATTGTCTACTTTTATTAAGAAATGTTTTACACATTCCAGAAACAAAATCAAATCATTGCACTATGCAAAATCAAATCGTATGGAATTTATTTGTTCAGAACATTGATAAAGTATTAATTCATCTCATGACGTGCAAACAAAAGGTGTGTAAATTTTATAAATAAGTTTGTACAGAACAAAAAAAAAAAAAAAGAAGATGGTTGATGATGAAAATGCAAATTTCTTTTTTTTTTTTTATAGTCTTATTGGGGTGTCACAATGGTTCAATTAATTGCTGTGATGTACAAAGATCAACATGTCGGCACGCTTCAAAAGTTATTAAATACGTGGTTCGAAGCATCATTAAGCGAAAGCTCCGAAGATAATGAAAGTAACACATCCCCTCCAGTAAATTATAATTTTTTAACGATAAGATAAAAAAATACGTTCGAAAAATATTAAAATATTATTATTGTAATGAAATTTAAAAAATTTTCACCACAGGAACAGGGATCCGATTCTTCTCCCACTATGACATCATCCGATCCGACTTCTGATTCTTCTGACACGGGTGGAGGAGGACACAAATTAACGGGAAATCACGAAGGCTCGTCTGGAGTACCGGTAAGTCATTTAAATTTAAACATTTATTCATTCGAACTTTAAATTAATATTCCATTTTCTTTTTAGCACGTGGTACAAAGATCGTCATCGGGCGTGACTGAATGCAATAGAGCGGGAAACAAAAGTAATAATTTAAAATTTTCTTCAGTTTGAACTTTTCCAATCAAGAAAGATAAATAAAAAAAAAAACGTTTTATTTAATTTTAGTGATCGTCTTTGAAGAAGGAGGAAATAGCAATAGCAATTGTGCCAACGGTACCGAAAGAAAAACAAACATACAGGGTTGTAATAGAAAAAATAAAAATTCTAATCGAAGGTCAATAGATGTGGATTCTGGTGCTGCATCTTTATGTTCTTCAGAAATTTCTGTATCCTCAAAGGTCGGCATCTTTTAAACTCCTTTTTTATTCCTTTTAATTTGCACACATCTGAACATTTTATTTTGATTAATGAAATGCGTTAGAATTCAAGTATTCCCTGTCAATCAAATTCTACGATAATCAGAGGGAAACAAAGTCCGGATAATTTTCAACACAAACGCGAATGTTTTTCTCCCGAAATGTCCGATTGTGGGTATGGGACTCAAGTGGAAAATCCAGAACTTGTTTCAACATCCAGTAACGAAGAAGAAAGTCCGCAGACGAAGAGGTAAGGGAAAAAAATTGCACGTGTGTGCGTGTTTTTTACTTAACATTTCAAATTAAAATTTTTTTTTTTTTTTACAGGCCAATACATCAAAAACCACATATACAAAAAACTCGTTACTGTACCAAACAACCCACGTTACAAGAAAAAAAAGAGCAAAGGAGAAAGAAGCTGGTGAAACGTAGCAAAACAGCCATGTAAGATATTACTCACAAATTGTAAAATTTTTTTTTTTCCAGAACAATCCCTGATCGAAAATTATGTTTACAGAGTTAATATTAAAGCTATGGCTCATCACGTACCTTCAAACGAAGACATAACTCATATATTAAAAGAATTCACGGTAGATTTTCTACTAAAGGCTTATGGTCCTCTCGTTCAAGTTCTTCATTCCCAACTATTGTTGCCTTCGAACATTGTTCGAATCGACACGTCACATTTTTTCTGGCTCGTGACATATTTTTTAAAATTTGCAGCGCAGTTAGAATTAGATTTGGAGCACGTCAAGTGAGTCAGTTGATCTTTTTCCAAAAAGTGAAAATAAATTGAAAAAAATACAATTTTACAGGGAAGTTCTCTCGTACGACATAATATCATACCTGACGTACGAGGGAGTGAACATTTGCGAAAGTTTAGAAATCGAATCGAGACAAGAAAGAACGGATTTAAAGCCATTTTTACGACGACAGCATTTGGTAGTCACGGCAATTCGAGAATTCATACAAGCAACGGAAACGTATGGGAAATTTTCACATTTGAGCACGGAAGATAAAAAATTTTTAACGAATTTACAAAGTAAGTCGTCGCAAAAAATTTACCTAAAATTATATCATTATTATTATTATTAACGTGAATTTTATTTGAATTTTCAGTTCAAATTAGTTCTACGGACGATTTGAAATGTCTCTTCGTTCTTTTACTAAGACAATACGATCAAAACATACATAATAAACAATATCTACAAGATTTGATAGTGACCAATCACATTTTACTTTTCTTCTTGGAAAATTCTTCTAAATTAGTGCAAAAAAAAAATTTAGGATTTTCATTGATCACTCATATAAAACAGTAAGTTAAGAAAAGACGTTATAAACTTTTTTTAAATGGAAATTATATTTAATTTTTTTTTTGCCAAAGGTTTGCCACTGTCGACGTCATGCGACAATATGGAATTCTTCTAGAAGATTTCGAAAGTAATGGTGAATACATAAACGATTGCGTTTTTACAATGATGCATCACATTGGGGGTGACATGAATCAAGTGACGAGTTTATTTCAACCGAGAATATTAAAAACATTTACTCAAATATGGGAAGGAGATTTTCAAATTTGCGATGTTGGTTTACAAAATAATAATAATAATAATAAGTAATTTTAATATTTTCGACTTTAAACCATTTTTTTTTCGTTTGTATTTGTAGGATTGGTCGGATTTAATTGAATACGTTATACATAGATTTATTAATTTGACGTGTCATTGCTCTTT